TAGATGTTTTTTTTTTCCCATTTAAAACAGCAAAGTTCAGAAAAAGTGCTTGTTCTGGCTAAATATTAATTACATCGTGGAACAGGCGTAGTTGTCATTGGAAACGAACTACATCATATTGTAGGACATTTGCGTACATAATACAGTGATAATGAGCATTCTTATTTTATTATTTTATATATGAGCTCAAAAGAAAATAACCACATCTACGTTAGCAGAATCAACTTCACAGGTTGAAGCTGGTGCTTAAAAGGTGAAAGCAAAAAATGACCAATGTGTGGCCTCAAATTGCCCTTTATATGTGAAAATAATTTAAATTAATTAAATAATGCATCTAACAATATTTACTTCTTAATCAGGGTTAACGCGGTTGATAGAAACTAACTGCAATGTTGATATTTTCATAACATAGGACTGTGCTTGAAGCTTTTCTTGTCCCCCTCAGAAGAACTTTAACTTTATACAGTAGATATTCTTGCAGTACCAACTGTGCGGCAGCATATTAGTGATTCGGCGCTCATTAAAATAAAATCTACATTTTTACAGTCTACATGGAAATGTTTCGATATTAGAAAGCTTTTAAAAGATCTTTAACTCGTGAATAACTAAAACTTGCATGCAGCAAGAGGTGCAAATGCAGAAGAAAATCTGTGTAGCCAGGACGGGAAACGTGTATTTTCTTGTGCTGAATCAGAGCTAGCATAGATATTTTGGTTTTCTCTAGCAGTGACCAAGTACTTTATTTTAACAATTCCACTTTTCATCCTAACAAGAAGATATTGGTCCAAGATCAAAGCGCTCAGGGATGTGGTTACCTGCTTAGCAATTGTTCAATTATTTTGTGATTGAGAATAATTAGTGTCCTGTGGCCATTTCATAGCACATAATGTTTTTTTTTCTTTGTTTGAAGAAATTAAATCAAAGGTTGTCAAGTGTGCTTTTGTATAAAAATAAACATAAAAATAAAAACCACACTGTTGGACTGATTCTCATCCTAATTGACTATAAAGCAAAAACTGGTTCTACCCTGCAGCCACCACTGAATAATGACTTATAAAGTGCCCCTTCACCCCGAGAGCACTTTGTAGATCTAGTCACTGATTGATTGATTACCTGTTACCTCATGATGTCCTTTACATGGAGACAAACGCACAAATCGGTGGTTTCTTTACAAAAGTCTGTCCATGTCAGTGGATATTTTCATTTTTCTCTGTGTAACAATGCTTTCACTGTAGGTTAAGAAGCAGAGTATATCATGAAAGTAGACCAACTGTATTATAACCCCCCCACCCCCATATCCTTATTTGAACATGGGGTGATGGTCATTTAGATATTTTACTACTTCCCTGTGAGAAATATAGACTGTGCAGCATGATTGTTTATCCCTGAAGTTATGTTTCATTTTCAAACTACGGAATATGGATGATGGCAGTGAAGTTTTATTGTAGTTTACAGTTAAATGAAAATTTCTATTTTTTTGTTCTTGGTCTTGTGCAATTCTATTTAGCTTTTATTAATACACTAAAACTTTACAAAGATTAGAACAAAAGTTTCTGAGCGGTTGTAGATGTTTTAGTAAAACCTTGAAAATGATGATATGCACAGTCTTGTCGAAGGTCTTATGAAGTTTTACTTCTTGATGTCTTGACTCTCAGATATTACCGTACCAAATTGAGTTCAACAGCTGGCTGAGTTGGTCATTTTTGTGCTTTCTAAGATCAGTGGCTGTGGCTGTCTTGATTCGGGTTAGCTCCAAAGGTTAATGAATCGTAGATGTACAACCCATGATTATTTTCTGAAGGTTTTAATAAAATTAATCCAACGGTTTAGATTTTCTAACAAACACACAACAGACACATGATTGCCCACCTTTTGAGGTGGCAGATGATTATGAATTAACAAGAAAGATTACTGCGCTGCTGCCTTCATCATCCTAGCCAAGGCCTTGGGCTCTATAGACCATCTTGCTGGAAAGGCTGAGACATCAGTCTGTCAGAGTTCAATTGCTTGGTTCAAAAGCTACTGTTCTGGGCAAACGCAATCAGTGAGGGCTGAGGGTCACCTGTCAAATCCGCTACCTATCAGCAAAGGCATCCCCCAAGGCTCCATGCTTGGTCCAACACTTTTCAGCATATACTTCAACAATGTAACAAATTCTGTGAACTGTCTTGTTCACACACATCTGTACGCCGATGACACTATTATGTATACCGCTAGTACCTCTCTTACCTCTGCCCTCTTCACACTACAAATTAATTTAAATAACATTGGCATACTTTTTAATCTTCATTTAAAACTGAACAGCAGCACAGTAGTCTTTCTGAAAACAAAATGCATGATCTTTAGCAGAAACCTCCCTCAAACAGTTTGCCCAAAGAAAATCCTCTTCTTGGATGGCTCAGAACCAGTTTGCCAGCAGCTACAAATACCTTGGCATTTGGCTCGATCCTTGGCTTTCAAACGAAACTCACATCTACACTCTGCTCTCCTAAATCAAATCCAGAATAGGATTCCTCTTCTAAAACAAATCCTCACCAACTCAAACTGTTAAACAGCTTTTGGTAAAAATTACAATACTTCCGATCTTCCCCTGTGGCGACATCTTCTGCAGAACTGTTTCCAAAACTCTGGTCCACAAACTGGACACTCTTTACCATGCAGATATTAAACTGGTCATCCAAGCTCCCTTCAACACTCATCAATGGTCTCTGTATTCCCTGGTGAACTGGCCCTCTCTTCACCCCCACAGAAAAACAAACTGGTTTCTGCTGATCTATGAAACCCTCACTGGTAAAATCCCATCTTACCTCTGTTCATTACTCACTATCTGTAGCAACATGCATACCCTCCACTCCAGCAGCTACATTTCCATACTTGTCCTTAAAGCACACACCTCATTTGGTCGTTCATCATTTCAATTTTCTGCTACTAATGATTTGAGCCATCTACAACAAACTCTAAAATGTGCTTAGTTTTTCCCATTTGCATTGTTTAAAAAGTCTGTGAAAGCATCACTTGATGACTGCTGCACATGCTTTTAGTATTTTTTTTCCTCAGTCTCTGTTGTTACTCTCTTTTATCATGAACGCTGTCCTAGCTCCTTGTTATAATTTCACATGGTCTCTAGAACTTGATGTTTGATTGTCAGATATTTATACGTTGCCTGTCTGGTGTTCTCCCACTCCTGTATTTGCTGCCTCTTGGCCAGGTTGTCACTGTAAATGAGAATTTGTTCTCAACTGACTAATCTGGTTAAGTATATGCCAAATAAATAAATGACCCCAGTTCCTCTATAAAGAGCTGGTCAGCCACTCTCAGGCATGGTAATCCACCTTGACGATGACTTTTGAATGATTCTATTTAACCCTGAGAGGGAACTGTTGAATCAGTGTAAAATTAAATCACAGCATGAAGGTGAATAAGATCTTTACATGGCCTTATAATGACCCTCTGTTAGTATGGAGTTTGACTGTGTCTAACAAAGCTCCACCCTATACCCCATCCCCTCACTGTGGGTGTTTGGATCCAAAGTCTTCTGTGTACTTGCCCACATGTCAGGAGTATGGTGACAAGTGATTTATATTTTCTTTATGCACCACTGAGCTTTCAAAAGTTCATTCATCTTTGTAATGAACAGTTTATGTACTGCAGCCCTACTGTATAATCCCTCTCAATATAAGTAAGTGTCCTTGTGGACAGTCTGAGCATGTCTGACCTGCAACGTTTTCAGTCAACCGAGGAAGATTTGCTCTTCTGCTCTTTCCTGCAGGTTGCACAAATGAATAGGAATCATAGTTAAAGAAAATGTTGCGAACTCTTAACTCGCATTCACAATGGACTTTCACAACCAATCTGGTGTCACAGCACCTTCCCACAGGATGTGGGGACGTGCAAACTTTCACTGTGTTTTACAACATATGTCACAGCAGTAGGCACCGAGTGTTCTTAAAACTGTGCACCTTCAAATATAATTTCCAGCCCACTTTGATTGAAAGGCACGCCAGTTTATCAGTCTTTCAGAGTAAAGCTGCCAACCGTGTCCCAACATGGAGCCCTCCTTTATAGTCAATTAAGCATTTTCATAAAAAAACTCAGAACTGATGTAGCGTGGAAAAATATTTAAATCCAACAGAATATGATTAGATGTTAAGTTCTCTTGTCATTTATTTATTTTTCAGCCCTCATTTCTTTTGATATTTTATATGGCTTTTGTCGCATGCCTGCAGATTTCAGGGTCAAATACTTGAGATGGTCTTTTAAACTCTGTTGCCCAATTCTTTACTTTTACCACTTTTTCGGATCTATTGGGAAGTGTGCATTCTCTCTGCAAAACATTTCACCATACTTGTCTCAAGTGAAGAGGCCTGGCTGTACCCGTCAGCCTTAGTGCAACGCAAAAAGCCAGTTGCAGCACAGAGAAACCCAAGACCACACAGACCACAAACCTAACCCACCCTGAGCGTAGAAAAGTTGCCCAAAAGGGTTATAAACAATCAAACTTTTGCAAGTTTGGAAATATTTATTCCCAGAGACTCAAGTTTAGTTGGAGATTCCTCTCCCACAAACTAAAAAAGACACCAAAAGGGACACATGCTGGGGGAAAGTGAGGACTACAAAATACTTAGACATGTCCAATTATTCATAGTAGTTTAAAGTCCGTTTAAAATTTTGTGTAATTTTAAACAATACAGGGAAGTACTTGGATGATTGCATGGATATAAAAGGCACACACCTTAGAGAGCAGAAATTATGAGTTTTAATCCGGTTCGTTTTCTTTTTCCGGATGAGACAAGTCAGCATTTTGCTTCACACTCAGTTCACCAGTTTTAGGTGGAATAATTGGAGACATCTAACATTTGTCATGGTGTAAATCGGGATCAAGGTGCTAGAGTACAATAATGTGTCTTTTTACAGGGCATACTTGATAAAGTATTTACCTCTCTCTTGAGCCTTGTGTTTAGTTTTAGTTTTTATTTTTAGGCTGATGCGATGGGTCATACCTCACACTCCCTGGAGCCAGAAATTGTGCAAGTGCAGGAGCCAGTGCCATTGCCTAGCACCTCCAGTGCCTCTGGTGTGGCAGCAGGGTTGTAGCTCATGTAATACTCTTGAAGTTGGGAGCTGAGGTTTTGCTCTGGCTCTGGGCTCTTTTTGCGACGCCTCCGTCCCACCATTGATCGCTGCTGCAACAACCGGGTCGCGCCTGGGTAACGCCGCCACAGCACATAAATAATTGTTAAGATTAGTGACATGGTGAAGAAAAGTGCCACACTGCCCACCACTACTTTGTGCAGAGTCATGTGCTCTATCACTGGGGGCGATATGTGCGTGGGTCGAGCGTGAACCACTGTGTTTCTGCTGTCTTTACTCATATGCCCTGGAAAAGTAGGATGCGAAATGGGTCGAAGTCTGAATGGTGGGATAGGGCCAAAGGTACTAGGTGGGAGAGAAGTTGGAGAACCACTTGTAGGAGCATAGGTTGGTTCAGCAGTTGCTTCAGAAATCAGCTCTGACATTGGAGATGGTGTTTCTGTCATAAAGTAATCATTTTCTTCACAAATACCATGGTTCCGAGTGACTTCCATAATCTTTTCTCCTTGGAGATGCTTTGGGCTGCTGCAAATCATAGTGGTGTCCTTGGTTCCTCGGAAATTTCTCAACCAAGCTACGAGGGGGCAAATTCCCATTCCACAATCCCACATGTTGCCAGCAAGGCTTATTGAGGTGAGGGAGATCCATGCCGAAACTGCCTCCTGAGACACGTTGGACAACTTGTTGGATTCCAGGTTCAAAACTTGAAGGTTTGGTAAACAGTGAAACACGGCTGGGTCAAGTGTTTGGATTTCATTTCCAGACAGATCCAGTTTTTGAAGTGTATACCAAGTCCATGGCAGGCCCTGGTTCACCACTCTAATGCGATTCCACTGCAGATAAAGGGATCTCAGATTGGCCAAGCGTGGAAACAGAAAAAAGTTGATTCTTGAGAACTGGTTGTGCTCCAAATGCAGCTCCATCAGCTTCTGTAATCCCAAGAAGGTGGTACGGGTAAGAGCTTTGATTCGATTGTACCCCAAATCCAGGAACTCTAAACTTCGGCATTCTAAAAATGCTCTGATTGGAATGTTTGAAAGTCCATTGGAGCGCAGGTGAAGGTTCTGTAATTTTCGCAAGCCATGGAATTGACCCGGCTGTAGAATTTCCAGTTTATTATACGACAAGTCCAGACTGCGGAGATTGGGAATGCCGTGGAATGTTGAATTATGCAGAGATGTTATCCTGTTAGAGCTAAGTATTAGCTCCTTTAATCTGCGGACTCCCTGAAATGCTCGACTGTCAACAGCTGATATCTGATTATGGTCCAAGTATATCCAGAGGAGCTGGCTGAGATGAGCAAACTGATAAGGTAGTAGGGTATGCAGTTCATTGTAGCGCAGAGAGAGGCCCTGGCAGCCTACGGAGATGTTTTCTGGGACATCTAGAAATCCTGATGAGTCACAATGAACCGTTTTTCCCTCACAGCGGCAGTTGTTGGGGCAGGTGCGCTCACCAAAGCTCAACAACAAGGGTGCTCGCAAGAGGAGGAGCAAAGGTAAAAGGAAGTGCGTCATCCGTCCATCACAGATCAATGGACCTGAAAGCAAGCATAAATGAAATAATGATTAGCTAAATTAGATGCTATACCAATTACTTTATATATGTGTCACAGAATAAAACCCTATACATCAAACCTGCTTTCAAGATTGTTCAAATTAACAATTTGATTGTTGAAAAGTACCTAAATTTGCACTATTATTGAATTTTTAGGTTATCTGTTCACATGATGGGTGATACTCATGCCTGTCTTTCTCATTTCTTGATTTTATTTTCACTTTTTCCTAAATTATTTTAAACACAAAGAGAATGAAGGTTGCATATATTTTGTTCTAAGACTTTTTCACAGTAATTCATAGATTAAATTCTCCACTTATAAGTTTCAAAGACACACGACTGGAATTTAGGTGATTGGTTTCCCCAAAAGACCTTCGTATGAAGGAGTAAGCCCTCATCTAGACAAAGCATGCTTGTGATTCTAAAAGGCTGTAATTTATTAGGTTTTTATTTTTAGCTGGTTTCATGTTGATTTATTTCCATGCAGGCAGCACAGACTACACACTGCTTTGACACTGTGTTCAGATCTTTAACAGGAAATGGAATGATGATGCAATGACGAATCAATGCAATTAGTGCAAATGGAGACATGAATTTACTGTGACTTACATGAATAAAATGTTTGTGTGAGCATTATTAGGAACTGCGTTTTTCTATACAGTATGATTACAGTATTTACTGTTTGCTGATTTATGTACTTAAAGGGCAATTGTCCTTGGTGAAACAGAGTTCTAGCGGTTAACATGGCTTTTAAAATTGTTTTATCAAACATGGTAAAACAAATCAATACAGAGGAGCTGAAATTTGAATTTGCACATTGTTAGGTAAAATGCAGCTGTGGCACCTCCATGTTCTCATTGATAATGTCAGTTTAAATGTTACAATTAGGATTTCAAAACTGTCATGTCTGACATCATTTGGTCCATTTAGTATTAATTCTATTCATTCATGTTTATACAAAAAATCTTGCACTCAATATAATAACATGTGTTCATCGGACTACGAAAGCCACGTAGGAGACTGTGTTTGTAGCACGGAAAGCTTCAAACAAGAAGCCTCAAAGCCTCGATGTCAGTTTCGTTACGCTAAGAGTTCTAGCCCTCCTAGACCCAGGGGTATCCACCTCCCCACAGTCCAGTTTTCACAGCTGAGGCCATGGACTGACATTTTCCTCACAAGCATCTTCTGCAGGAAGGATCTGAAACTGTTTCATCTCCAGGATGAGATGATCATCCTGTTCACTGTTGGTAGAACATGCCAGAAGCAAACACTAACAAAATGTTAACAAAACTTTACAGCTCTTGTTTCATTTTCTGTTATTATGTTTAAGGTAACATTGTTTTTAAAAGACCGCTTGTGACAAGCTACAAAAGTTAGCTTATGTATTGTAAAATAGTCTATTTCATTATATATGTTATGTTTGCTAAGTGCTGACATTAATATTTAGCAAATTGCTTGTTCTAAACATCACTTTAAAAACCAATGATTTGCAAAAAAAAAACAAAAAAAAAAACAAGATACATTGCATTTCCTGCAAAAATGAGGTGTAAATGCTTATTACAGAAGAACTTGATAAAAAAAACAACTGAGATTAGCTAAAAAAAACATGCTGAAATGTAGCTGAAATGAAGAACACACCTGAACTGGCTGATGAAAGCAGAAAGACACATATTTGCTAAATTAGATTTAAATAAGCAGAAATTAGCACAAAAATTGGGAAATTTGCTAAAAGAAATGCTGAAATTAACAAACAATAGCTGAAAAGTAGATGGAAAAAAAATAAGCTGAAAGAAGCAGAAATTACCATGCCAAAAAAAAAAAAAGAATTTCTGTGATAACGGCTTAAATTAGCTAATAAAAATGTTTAAAATGTAGCTGAAAATGTAGAACAAACTTAAATTAGCAGAAGAAAGCAGAAAAACACGTTTGCCCAATTAGGCTGAAAGACGTAGAAATGAGTACAAACAAGGGGAAATTATCTGGAAAAAAAAGCTGAAATCAGCAAATGACACCTGAAAAGTAGCTAAAAAGGCAGAAAATAAGTTTAAATTACCAGAATAAACTGGAGAGAGCACTTTTTTTTGCTGAATTAGGCTGAAAAAAGTTTAAATGAGTGCACAGAATGTGGCATTAGCTGAAAAAGCTAAAATTAGCATAAAACAGCTAAATAGTATCTGAGATAGCAGAAAAAGTTAAAACGCAGAAATAAGCTGAAAGGAGCATAACAAGCACGAAGAAGTTAGAAGAAGGTCAAAAATGTTCTAGTTAGCAGAAACATCCTGAAAACATCTGCAGTTAGCTGAAAGTAGCTGAAAAAAGTTTAAATTTGCACAAAGAAGCTGAAACAGAACGTGAAAGGAGCAGTAAAAGGTTGTAAACAGAGCTAAAGATTTGAAGGATGTAAAATGAGCTCAATTCATTTTGTATGAGGGGGAAAAAAAAAACTGCTAAAAGTTTAAATATTTCAAAAAGCTAAAGTTGCACCATTATAAAAAGGCACAGCACCCTTCTCCTGAATGAGCCAAACGTTTTGATGCATAAATTGCTGAAATAGCTTAAAAACTGTAGGACGAGAATCGTACGGAATAGGGATAGAAGTAGGAAGAATGATGAATATAAACAGGAAAACAATAGTGTGGATTTTTAATAAGCATTCGCACAATTAAAGTTCTAAACGACAAATGTTTTAGTATTTAAATTTGGTAAATGTATAGTTTTGCTTAAATTTTACCAAATAGCTTTGTATGTTACATTTGTGCAAAGTTGCTTCTATGAAGGATCAGTTATATCATATTTACAAGAAGCTGATAAAGATACATTTATCTACTTACTGTAAACGCTTGCCATTTATTGAACCAAAAATATAATGCAGTGTCCAAATAATATTAACAAAACGAAGTCCAGCCAGGATTACCAACAATAAATCTCTGTCAGATCAACCACTGGAGCTCACGTTGCAGCACCGTGAAGTGAAATTTAATTTCTGATTTATGTTTGGAAAATGACATCCCTGTTGATTTTTTTTTAAGGCCATGAAGATGACATTCCTCTGTCCCCATATTGGTCACATCGATGACTTCATTAAGGAAAAAGGGTGAAAATTAATACCTGGAGTTTAATTGAACAAAAATGAGTATATTTAAGGCTTTACATCTAATTATAGCTTCTTTAAAAAAAAGACTGTCGATTGCCTTATCAGGAACAAATGACTTCAGGTAATGACACTGTAACGACTTCTGAGAAGAAATTATCCCATCCGACACGGCGTGACTTCATTTGATACCTGTCTATAATTTCTTCCAACTCTTGTCTGTTCCTGGTCTTTTTGACAGCTTATGATAATTAAAAAGTCCATCACATTTATCAACTCTTTAGTATTCAAACACACTCTAAGGTTGTAGCTATCTAGTCATAGCCAAGACTTATTTAATAGATGTTACTATGTTTATGTAGACAATTTGTTTCACTTCACTTTACCATACTTGGAGGCAGCTGTCACAACAATCTCTAATTTACGTCTTCATTTTCAGTCCTTCAGTCCTAAACATCAAGACATTGGTTCCTGCCTAAGCTCACTTGGTAAACATTAGATCGTAAAGGTTCAAAACATCTGAAGGAACACATCTGGTAAGGTTACAGTACTGGGATTACTCTTGGAAAGTTACAGAAAGTCAGACTTCATTCTGAAAATGTTTTAAAACACGTGGCAGCACGACGGCTCAGTGGTTAGCGCTGTTGCCTCACAGCAAAAAGGTCATGGGTTCAGTCCCCAGTTGGACCTGGGGTCTTTCTGGTTAGAGTTTGCATGTTTTCTCCGGGTACTCCGGTTTCCTCCCACAGACCAAAAACATGCATGTTAGACTGACTCCAGTCCTCCCTTGCAAAAGAGATCTGTGACCTCAGTGGGATTTGCCTGGTTCAATAAAGGTTAAATAAAAATTTGCCATGCTTTATAAGTGCATGTAAAAAATCATTAATGTATCTAATCCTATTTGTGTTTGCCTTGACAAACGTAGATGGTAAATGGACTGTACTTTTATGGCGTCTTTCTATCTTATCAAGATACTTAAAGTTCTTTACAACAATCTGTGCCCTCATTCATACAGCACTCTACGATTTCTGTACAAAGACTAATCAGAGCTTTATCACATTCATACACCGATGGGACACGCATCGGAGGCAATGAGGGGCTCAATGTGTTGCCCAGGGACACTTCAGCATGTGACTGCTGGTGGAATCGAACCCCCAACTCTCGCATTGGAGGACGACTGCTCTAACCACTCAGCCACACCCAACATTTTAGACAAATGTCTAAACTTATACACATGTAGAATACTTCTAAGTTTACTTGTTCAGTACATCAAAAACAGACTGGAAACAATTTATTATAATATTCTATTGTTTAGTTAAAACAGAAGCAGCTTTTATGAACAATGCAACTATTATTTAGATCTAATTATCTTTTTTTTTTTTTCCGTTTAGCTCAGTAAGAATAATAATTGTGCTTTTTATTTTTTAGAGCCTTTCAAGACTCCCAAAGAGACTTTACAGAAATCTGAACAATATCGTAAATCGCAACACAAACGCACAGACAGAAAATTAAAAGTGAGGACAAACGGCCAAAAATTATAGCGAGAAAGCCAACTTGAGTCGGAGGAATTTTGAGTTATTTAAAGGTAAGAAGAGAATCAATGTTGCAGATATTCTTCTGGAGGAAGAGAGTTCCAGAGCTGGTGAGCAGAGTGGGGAAAAGCTCAGTTTCCCATGGTGCTGTGGTGGTCAAAGAGCATGGTGAGGTGGATAGATGAGGAAGAACAAGGAAAACGTGAATGGATGGTGATGTGCAGGAGAGCAGAAATATAAGGAAGGGTGAGGTTATGGATGGCCTTGAATGTTTACAGCAGGATTTAAAATTGAATCCTGAATATGACCAGAAGAGAGCAGAGCTGCTGTAATTCTGGGGCGATGTGACATGAAGGGGTTTAGTGATGGTTGTATGATCCATGATGGACTTGGTGATGATGAATTTTAAACCATTTCAAGCTTTAGGAGGGATTTGTATGGGAGAACAATTTGAAGCTGCGACTTGTATAAAAATACTGATGACGTTACCAATGCTGATGACATTTGGAGCAACTTGAATTTGTTTAAATAGACATAAATAACAAATGTTTGCATAGATCTAAA